AAACTGCCAAAAATGATAAAAAAAAATTTAATTAAAAAACCCCCCCTTTCACCCCCCAACCCCCCCCCCCCAAAACAAAACCAAAACAAAACAACGTTCTAAAAATGATAAAAGAAATGTCCCGGGCAAAACTTCAGAGTTTGTTGCAAGTCATACGACCTATAAAAAAGTGTGTGAGCGCCCCATGACTAAATACCATTGGTGTCGTATGACGAGACAGACACCATGTTGGACACACGTGTACGTTTACGCGGCTGCGCGTATGTGTCATGTGACACACTGATTGTTATGTTACAGATGATTTAATCATTGGAAACATGAGTTCTCACAACGGCATGGCGTCACTGTTGTACGCTCCCATCGATCGCGATCATTGACCAATGGGATGACATTCGCGATGCCGCTGCGTGCGTGTCTTCGCGATGTACAAAGAACATTGAGTTCGTGGGCTTTTTTCTTTTAAAACAAGTATTTTTTCTTTTAAAACAAGTATTTGTATTTTTCTTTTAAAACAAGTATTTTTTTCTTTTAAAACAAGTATTTTTTCTTATTTTATTTTCTTATTGTAACCAAATACTTGAATTTATGACCCGCCTTAACATTTAATTGAGTAATTATCTTCCTTAGCCCAGAGCAGCGTTCGGCAGACTCAAGAGTCAAAGGAGCCAAAAATCAGCAGCAAGACGATTTAAATTTTTTTTTTTTTTTTTTTTTTTTTTTGAGAGCCAAATTTTTTTTCAAGAACCTTTCCAGAACGATTTTTTTCGGAGTCAAAACTTTTTTTTGACCGACTGGCCGAGCCGCACTCAGGTCGTTAAAGAGCCACATGCGGCTCGTGAGCCGGGATTTGCCGACCACTGGCCTTAGAGGGTCGCACGAACTATTATTCCGAGATTGCACACCAGGTCATAAGACAAGAAGGCAGTAAGGATGAGTTTATAGCCATCATGGGGTGGTGGGGGAATAATGTTTGAGAGCTACTATTTCATTTCCACCACTCTTTGGAAGCGATATTGGAACCATATAAAAACAATATACTACACTATAAAAGCTGTATAGCATGAACTGCCCAATCTGCTTAAGTTACTTGACAAAGTATGGCTTCCAGTAACGCACTCTATAAAATTACCCTAATAGTGCAGCCCCCCCTCCCGCCTCCCCCCCCCCACGGTGTACGCCATTGCCACTGAACTATTTGATTACCCTAATGTCCTACCCCCCCCCCCCCCCCCCC